GCTGTAGACTGTATCCAGACAGCTCTGGTGCGAGCTCCTCGTCTCAGAACACTCAACAATAACGCTGATTCATAACAAATAACGCTACTGTTTCGTGTTTTGCATTCATGCATTACGAAACAACACAAGTGCAAAACCACAGCGTCAGTAGAAGCTTTGATGAATTCGGGTCGGGCTTAGAAAACATCTAGAGAGCATCGAACACAAAGCATGCAGATGTGAAGCTGTCTGAACGAGCGTCCCTCGGCCTGCAGCGACACAACCGGAGACACATTCTGCCCATTGTTGCTGACTGGCAGATACCCCGGCACACACACCTGAGCTGTCAAGCGGCCCGAGTGTCACCCGATGCGTTACCGGGGAAAAAGGCAACAGCTCAATACTGATCCTGAGAGAAAGAGGGGATGGAGGGAGGGCAGAGGAATGGATGGCTGAGGGTAGAATGAGGAGAAAGAGAGGCAGAGCAGATGGATCCAGACACTTTCGAAATGAGCCCATAGAAAAGAGCATTTACAGTAGAGCGTGTCGGTGTGAATGCTAATGCTCCTGGACGTCATCCCCACTCCGGCAAATACAAGACTGTGTCTCTCTTTGTTGCTCTCGTCTTTTTTTCAATTCGGTTTCTTCGCTCTACCCTCCTCCTCCTCCTCCTCCTCCTCCATCCCCTCCGAATAATTCCTCTCTTTGTCTGAGCGCGGCCGATATTGGCTTTCGAGAGTTGTTTTCCTCCTCACTTTTCACCTCTCCCCTCTGATCTTTTATCACACACACACACCTGCAAGTAAGTTTCAATAACAGATTATTACAGAAGCCGGCTAACCTTTCATCTCCACGCAGAAGCAGGAAAGAGGGGGAGAAAAAAAAAATCATCGATCGGACCAATTTTAGATCCTGACTCGGGTTTGTAGCCGCTCTTAAAGCGTTTCATCTAATAAGTCATCCTTGTGTGTGTGTGTGTGTGTGTGTGTGTGTGTGTGTGGTCAGCAAATCTCATTTATCACCGAGGTTCTGGTCCCCTCACTGCCATTCTGTCCCATGCAGCCACAGCAATATGGAGAGAGGAAGCGCCGCTCGTCTTTGCAGAGCCAACGATCCATAAAGCAATATGGGAGTTTATGAGCTCTCAATGTTGTTCAATATAGGGGCAAGTTCAACTATGCAATAGCTCTTTGGGGCTTTTTTTCTCTTTCGAAAGTTGTTCAACGGCGAGATTCAAACGACTCCTGTTGCCGTCCAGAAGTCCGAAAGTTTAGCTCCCGAAATTCAAAAGACGAATCTGGAAACAGTATTTTTTCTCCTTTACTTAAAACGGCAACTGATGATCAAAATAGTTTTTTTTCCCGCTAATTATTTCCCCCTCCGACTAATTGTCGGCGCGTTAATTCATTCCGACTTTGCATCAGATACAGCGTTCCACACGAAGGCAGATAAGGACATTGAATGAGAGGAAAGAGAAAGCACATAAAAAGGCAGTCAGACGCCATATTTCTCAGAGAAGAACCAAAACTGCACTTTGAAACAATCGAGCTCGTCCATTTCAGGCTTTTAAAAGAAAAGTGCGGCTTCTTAGTTTGAAGCGTTTAAAAACATGAAAGGTGACTGAAATGAGTCGGTTTTGATACCAGTTGTTCAGCGTTGGGAGGAAATGGATGCAACCTGAAGGATATCCTGCACATTTGTTCGTTGGATTATAACGATAATGAACTGAGTAACACGTGACGGGCAGAAGTCAAAGCGCGAACAAAAGCACCTGATTCTAATGTGGCCACTTCGCCCCACTCTGCTCCCAGCGCTCCTGCCACGTTCGGACTGCTCTCTGTTCTCGAACACCATCTGCGATTGGACCTCCTCCACCGGGGCAACCCTTCAGCTTGAATATCATTTTGGGGGGAAGAAGTAGCCGGGAGTCAAATCTGGCGAGTCGGAGTTTGCGTTGGTTCTGCCCAAAAACTTTTGAGCATTGTCATGATGGAGCGTCCATTTGTCATCGCGTTATATTTCAAGCTATTTGCCCCAAATGTTCTCGACTTGACGGTTCAGCCGTGGACGACCAATTCACGAGCTAAGATTCCCTGACTGTTGAAGACGATGATGCCGACTTGACGCTCTTCCGTCTTCTTGTGCAAAAACTCCTGTTTGGTCTCTGGGTTTAGCTGTAGACCCGCCTCTCGTTGCAAGTTGTTATCTCGGGGTAATGGTTGGGTCATTCTGGACTTGTTGTGGCTCAGGTGGTAGAGCGGGTTGTCTTCCAATCGCAAGGTTGGCGGTTTAATCCCCGCCCCTCCACAGTGGAAGTGTCCTTAAGCAAGACACTCAACCCAAAGTTGCTCGCCATTGGTGTCGCCATTGGTGTATGAATGGGTGAATGAGAAACACATCGTAAAGCTCTTTGACAACCACTAAGTGTTTAGCTAGATCTATACTTTGGTACAGGGCTGATCCATGGTGAAACTGCAAATGTGGACCCGCATGTTTCCACGAAAACGCTCGTAGTACAGATCAGTGTGGAATCCAGCTGCTCAAACCTATTGGGTACTCAAAACCGGACCATACTCGGAAGTATGTGATGGTTTTTCTGCCCCATTTGCGACGTCCCCATTGAATTTCAAAGCAACCCTTATACTTGTATGTTGTCATGTTTAGTTTCATTCACTTTCAAACACAATTTTTCATTAAAACTACTCAGTGAAGGTCGGAAACATCCGCTATATGTGGTGACACCTGCTTTGAGCAAACCAGCCAGCCTGTTTTGAATTGTTTACTAGACGTATAAGGTCAGACAGAACGTCAAAGCTGTTTAAGTAGGTAAATATGAAGCAAATGAAAAATGATATTCCCTCGTCAAAACAGCTGCCAGATGCTGTAGCTGGAAAAAAAAAACACAAATAAACAAACTATATTCAGCTTAGAAATAAAAACCTATTCAAAGTTGAACTGCTGACAAACTTTAATGAGCAGTTTAATTGCATTGGGCCAAACTGCCGCGCACACCAACACGCAAAAACCTCCAGTCGTGCCCGTGGTAACGCGGCGGCGGTGCCAGCTGAAAGGAGCAGATGGTGGCAGGACTGAGGCTGCGGAGTGAGTGGTGGTGAAGGCTGGCAGGGATGGAAAGAGTGGAAATAGGAGGAACTAATTACAGCGGTCGCCGCTGCATTAGTCGATTGTCATGCATTTGTCATTAGCGCCGCAGACAAATGCGGCCATTTGCATTTTTGACACTTGTCTCTGCGAAGAGATGAAGAGCGGATAAATTGTTGTCTTTTTCGGGGGATTTTGTCCCTCATATTTTTAACTACTACTAGTAGATTTCAGTGTCTTATTTGCTCTCAAAGTATTGATACCAAATTAAATGCACACATTTAACCTCTTAAGACCTGACCTGTGTGGACAACATATTTGGAGTTA